CGTTATTAGGGGAGCGTCTTTCGGATACTTTCTCAAAACAAACTTAATTTTGTGTTTTCATGCTTATGTACTTACATTCCTATGTGCTACCTTTTCGATTTCAGATGTTATGCATGCTGGTCGTGGAGTACACAGAATTGAAATTAGCTCTTTGACTAATATGGAAATTCAACCTCAAATCCAATTAAAAACTGCAGCGGTTGTCTTGAAAGCGAATGAATCGAAAATAACGCCCTTAAGTGCAACACGGGACGTTATACCAGAAGGCCGACAAATTTATCAGAATTTGTTCTCTTTTACTCTTAACGTCGCAAAACCCATGGAAATAGCTGTATACGCTCCTCTCTTTAATCCCGTTCTCTATGAATCTGAATTTGAATCACAATTGTGGATGATATTCGATTCAAATAAGGCTATGATTGCATGCGGTGATGCCAATTCACATTCCTTTTATACGAAACTCGAGAAAGGTGAATACACAATACGTTTGCAGATACGCCATGAAAAACGTGAGGCTTTGGAAAAAATTAACGAAAGTAATATGGTTGCTTTGTATAAATTGGCAACTCCACTTAATTTGGATTTCTACACCGAATATAATCAATGCGTTATTAGCGGTCAGAAATTTACGGCGTCTTTGATGAATCGCAATGTTCCAAAGGTTTTGTACTTGGGCCCTTTGACTCAAGAAAAGCTAACTAAGGCCAATTTGCCCAACAATTGCTCTTGGCTAGCTGGTACTATAACTTTGCCTAAGGATGATTTTGGCAAACGTACCGATGTACACCAATTTTACTATATTCTTAACCCATCGGAAGGCAGCAAGAAGAACGGTGTTAATGGTTCAAGTAGCGCCGTTGCCAATGTTGGTTTTACTGGCAAAACAAAAGTTTCTAATATTAATACCTCCTCAGCTGGAGCTATTGCTGCGGCTAATGCGCTAGCTTCGGCGGGGGATAGCGCGTCGACTGCGTCTGCTCCCACAGATTCAAACAAAAAACTTAGTGTAGACGAATATTCCGAGAGTCTTAGAGATTTCCAATGCTCTATGTTAACTAAATTGGGTAAGTAGAGCACTAAACAGATATATCGAAGTGTACCTAAACCCTCTTCATTTGCTATTGTTTACATAATATGAAACTGGCAAAGCCAGTTCTCATTTCTAAAGAAATTTTATTTATTAGTTTACTTCTAATTAAGTACATTTGAAATATAAGCCTCAAATTTATTGGCGCGGTTTTGTACAAGTGTTTTGACGAAATGAATATACCCCTCATCATTCGGTAAAGAGTATAGAGACCATCTCTAAAAAGGCAGCAAAATTAAATAAAAAGAAACATTTTGCAGTGCCCAGTCTCATAACTTGTCTGTATTTTATGACGCCGACTTGAAAACATTCATTGTTTGCATTTATTGAAAAGTACTGAAAATCACGTTATTTCGCTTTATTTTATGTTATGTTTTTAGATATTAATATTTCTAATTTCAAGTCTATCTTTGAACATAACGTTTTTATCATCTCTACAATTAAGATGTCGTTGACAAAAACATTAGAAATTGCAATAAACTTGCGAAATCCTCCCTCTCTCTCACTGAACTTACACTCATATCATTTATTATCGTTTCCAATTGGTGTACTTCATTTCACTTAAAAGCTTTATTTTTACCATTAATTTCCTTTTTATCTGCTATGTGATTTTCTCTTTATCTTTCTCCCTCCAATTTTCGCTATGCAGATTACGACAAGGCCGAAAAAATCTACGATGAAATAATCGCAGCACATCCAAAACATTTGTCTGCTCATTTACTGCTCATACAAAATATTGAATCAACTGAAATGAAAGTTCAATATCCTTTCACGTTTGCCAAGTCATTAGGAGAGAAAAACAAAGACAACAACACTTTTAATTGCACAACTGATGGTACTACCACATCAACTGGCACAGATACCGCCTCTGGCACTTCGTCCTCTCCTGCTGCCGATGATAATAAACAAAAGGATGATAACCAAAAATTGCGCAATGTCGCAACAACAGTTGTGCGTTTGGCTGATCATGTCATTAAAGGTACCGATAAGGATGCACTGTTAGCTTTTTATGGTCTTAAAAGCGATACACGTCCTGACGCTGCTAAGATTAAATCGTAAGTTGGTTGAATATTTTCCTACTGCATTTTGTAAGCTTATCACGTGACAAGTTATTGAAACATAACATGCTACCTACAAGGATGTGGTGTCCAAAAACTACTGGAGCTGAAATTACATCTTATGGGGAAATTGAAGATGTGCTCAAAGATCTTAAGTCTGCTGTTGTATTTATTCTTGGCATAAAGACATATTTAATCTTTTAGTCGTCAATAACTTATATCCTTAACTATACCGTTTAAAAGTTGATTTGTTGGAATTTTCTTAAGCAGTACTTGTTCAATGTTACATAAAAGACTGATAATTGAACAAAGTAGGTGTAATAAAAATTTCAAAAATTAGTTCGTTTTCCACAGCCCCTCACCCAATCGAAAGGCAAACGCATTGAAGGGCCATTCTCAAGAAAATCTATAAAATGTATATCCAAAATCACAGCCAATTGTCTAAACTAACGCACGAAAGTTATGGCTTCAAAACAGTTAATTGATAATCGTATTAAAAAATGAAAGCACTTTTCTCTCGTTTTGTTTTGAATTGAGTCAGAACTCATATGTGCTTTATGCCGCATCATCCAACATTCATTCGATTATCCTGGGGTATAAAAATATCTTATTTAAAGTAAGGTTAGGCAAATCGCATGGGACACATAGAATGTAAGAGATGTTTGATTGAAACGGGCGTGAATTCAAAGTTTGAAAATATGTTTTAATAAGTGAAAATGCATATTAAAACAAATAAGAACGCTATAGTGGGATACGCTCCGCCATGAAATACCCATACAACTTCCTTTAATATAGTTATTCTTACGACGACTTCTCACAATAAAATATTATATGGCAAGTGGTAGAGAAGATAGTTCGAAGAACTGCAAAGAATTTTCAATTCCTTTTGACGTTCAACTAAAACATGTCCGTGAACCAAATTTCATCAAAATATCTTAAATATTGAAACTTATAAGTTGAAGATAATCCAGCAAGGCAGAAAATGTGTACTTAAGATTTTAATGTGTAGGAAGTTTGAATTATGTCAACGCCAAAAGTGTTTAGGCACAGCCACATAATAAACATTTTGACAAAAATAACTTTCCACTCTTTCGCTCGTTAAAATAAACGTCGCCCAAAGTACGGTTATTCGGCACTCAAATCACTGGTATTGTTAACAAAAAAAAAAAAAAAAAATGATATGCCACGTCATGGCGTCCATCATATATAACGTGGATTTGATGCCCTCAGCTTTGCATATTTTACTCATCACTTCCTCTGATTTGAATTGTTTAGAAAAAGAAAATACGAAGAAAGGAATTTTTTAGTGATGCTCGCAACATTTAAAGTAGAATGACGGAGCCTAATCTATCATATTCTATTTTCCAAGGAATTTGCCCGACACCCACGCCAAGAAGACGATTAACAAGAACATAATCCGTCACGTTGCGACCCTACTAAATATGGGCTAATTTACCTAGCTTCTTGCTTTCTCCCGTTAAAGCCTTTCGTTCATTTGCTACCCACATCAATTATCGGAACTAAAGATGGATACAAAATTGTAACACGATGGGACCTAGGAAAGTGCCTGAAATATCGAATGGACAATTAGAACGTTATCAAAAATCTAAGCGTTATTAAAGACGTTTTGTCTATGGACCATTTTTGCTAAATTGAAGGCGGACATCGTTTGCAGATATGACCCACGCTATTTAGTTGCACCGTAAAGTTCACGCTTCTCTGTTCAATGAAGAAAAATATCTTTAAACGATTCGCTTAAAAACATCATTCTCCTTCTTTTAATTTTCAAAATCACTGCTCTGGTGTAAATTTTTAGGTGCATTCACATTTATTCCGTTTTATTTCATTACATTACAACAATAGCAACATGGATAAACAAAGGAATAATCTACTGGAAGCGTTAACTAAAACGGGTATTGCTATTGCTAAGCTGGCTACACTCGAGAACAATGTGAAGGAACATTTAGAAGAACTTGACAATATTTATATGGAGATCATTAAATTCGTAGATGCCAACGATTCAAAGGTAAGGGTATGATAGCTCGTAACTCGAATTGTTTCAGTTAGAAAAATACAACCAAAAATCGTTATTCTTTTGGTACGTTAGCACAACTAACCAACCAACAAAATCTAACGTGTAATAAAAAGTAATGAAAACTTTTTAATATATTTATTTGATGATGATAATTTTTTCTTGCAACAAAGTTTTCTTCCATCACTATTGCTAAGAAAAAGGAGGCAGATTAGTTTTGTTGTACCGTTCAATCAGCGACAATCTCTCAATCTATACATATCAGTGAAGTGGGAAATTGCCTAATCAACATAACGATGTTTATCTATCCGTGTAGATCTCCAAAAGTCAATTATATTGTAATATTGATTTAAAAATAGTACGGCTTCTTTATCTAAAATGCGGGGGCTTCTTGTCAACGTTTATTTAAAAAAGTACATTTTTCGAATGGGTTTTGTTTCCTTATCCAATCAGAATAATGATCCTTGAGTAGTTTTAATGCAGCATGGAAAAGTGCACTGAATTATGGTTATACTGATATTTCTAGTATGTGTGATTTTAACAATAAGAAAGAGTATACCTGGTTGGAGGCAATTTTCTTAAAATACACCTAATGGGATGTTCGTCCCCGATTCGACTGTTATTATGAATATATATTTTTGACTTGTTTTTATTTAGCTGCTCTTTGCTTCTACTTGTTTTTGCCTACTTTATATAGTTTGCCATAATTTCTGGCTTTATGTGTTTGTTTTGCGTTTTATTTTTCTTGCAGGTTATTCAGTTCTCATTGTGGCATGCTTACGTTCATGGTCAATGTGGACGTATGTATAAATACTTGCAAAAACTTTTCGATGACAAACGCAGCCGTGAACACTACGATGAGTTGAATTTAATTGCTGAAGCGTTGAAATACGACCACTTGCAAACCTTAGTTCAACGTATGACGGTATCGGCTTTTCCACAAGGCTATCGTTTGTTTTAAAAGTAAAGGAGTAGGAAGTACTAAGCAGTGTTGCAGCAAAACTTTAATTTATACTCCAATTTCATATTTATATAAAGAAAGTTCATAAACGTAACACAAACTTTCCTCGTAACTGAACTTGCAGCCTTGTACACGGTTGACTGTCTTCTAACCGACTGAGTGATTGTGTCTCACTGCTTGTGTGTGTTGTATAGCTTTGTCCGTCTATCTGGTTATCTACGACCTGCGTTACATTTGAGCAAATAAAAGACATGACGTAACTAATAAAAAAAATCGTCTCATTTTAAAAACGAAATAAAAATTAGATAAAATTTGAACTTTTCGAATTTTTTCTTTCCTTGTGCTATGCACAATTTGCGCGTAAATGCGGACACGATTTGGCAAGTTTTAAAGTGAATTGTTGTATGAATTTTCTACCTTATTTTTGTAATATTTTCTTTATTTCTTGTTAAGGTTTTTAATAACTTTCCATGCCATTGTTCTTACCCTTCTCTCCACTGTCATATGTTAAACTCAGTAGTAATAAAGCAAAATATATGTACAATGCCTATATGTAAGGCGAAGTTATGAGAATATGTATGTGAAAGTAACCAGCAAGTAATTGTGGAAAATTTTTTTTAACGATCCACAAACAGCGAAAATAACTCTTTTTGAACAATACATAAAAGTTCTCCTTTGCGCACATATAGCCGTAGAAATATAGTTCTTATATGCGCTTACATATATGATTTCGTATAATAAAGAAATTATTGCAACATAAGTTTGGCTATTTTTGTGCCTGCGATTTTGCACACAAAAATTATTGCACCATTAATCTAGCTCCGAGACAAATCAAAGTTACGTTCACTCAGTCGTCTGGGCTCAGATAATTTTTAATAATTAACCTAATTTACAATTATTTTCTGAGGACAATTTTGTCTTTTGATTATCGCTAATGCGACGATATCAAATGGAAATACTGTTTTCATTCCATAAATGTGGGGATCTTAAATCCTTTTTTATAGGTTTATTTTTAAAAGGTTAAAAAATAGTTTAATTTTTATTCTGATGTAATGTTTTTCCATCTTTCGGATAACTTCGAATTAACAAAAACCGTTTCGTCCATTATGAAAAGTATTTTTACCTAACTTTTCACCTTTGTTTATATACCATACAAATGAAAGACTGTAACCGAAATGCCGTTGGGCGGATGCAATAAGCGAAACGTTTTGTGTCGATGAAATTTCTGGTTTTCGGTCTTCGAAATTAAAAGTCGCTGTTATTGACCAAATTTGACGGCAAATTCCAGTTGCCTTGGTCCCTTTGGAGAATTTCTGTCGAACTCTGAAAACGGTATCGCTTCGCAACACAAAGTTTGACTTTGAAACTACGGAATGTCAAAGAAACATTTGCGCTGAAATAAACAAATAAAAGCCAGCATTATTAAAAGGATTATTTTTCTTATTGATCAACAATTCAAGAGACATCGCATTAATATTTAGAGGAGTTTTAAAGGCCAACGGTTGCGATTTGTTGTATACGAGAAGCAAAACAATTCCAACGGTGATATGAAACTGGACATCGTGTTAAGAAACGATTGACTAAAAGTTTGTTTAGAATTCTTATTAAACCGATGTTTAAAAAAGTAGATCTCAGGTTTATCAGGATTTTGGTGCGACTCTTTCACACCGTAAGTACTAGAGTGTCTCTTTGAAAATGTTCTTTTTTCTTATTATTTGTTTTGCAGGTTCACACCAAAAGGTAAGTGGTTAAAAAAAGAAGTGTTCAAAATTAAAGCCTATTATAGTAAGTACATACACAATTTATTCTTATGGAACTTACGATTTTCGCTGTTGTGTGTTCTGATAGCTGTAAGAGTTATATCAAGACCCGTTATATTGGCGGGTGATATAATATAATGTTCGCGTACATATACGAAGAAGGCGAAAAGCAAACAATACAAAGTGAATTTCAGTCAGAATTTAGAGATCTATTACATGCACAGACGACTATGTATTTAGGCATCATGCATGTGCTTTTATGTATAATATGTATATATATATAATATGGACATGTATATGCGGTGTACTTGTGTATGCTTATATGCATGTCCAACTGCATATATATATGAGCACAGTACTTCGTTAAGCGACAATTTATTGCGGTTTTAAAGGCTTTGTGTGTTATATCGAGTTGTCCTATAATAAAAGGTAAAATTTATGGTTTACATATGCTTTAAGGTGATTTATGCTTTAAAATATATAATATATATAAATATGTACGTATACACGTACTTAACGCGAACAATACACCTGTCCTTCTCAGTAGGTGTGGACAAGTTTGTTACTGTAATGGCGATGAGGAATATTCTATGTGCATATATAAGCGAAACTATAACTATTACAATTTCAATTCTAATGCTCGCCTGCAGTGAAAAAATAGATATTCATAAATAAACCGAAAAGAAAACCTCCAACAACAGAAAAAACCGCATGTTGCACAAAATATTTTAATTTTATGTTTTATACCCCTTATAAATGGCAATCAATGCTTTGTATGTGTATATGTCATATGTATATATAAGCCTGAATGCGCGCAATTGAACTTCCCCCCACAATGACCACCAACGTTATAACAGCAGCGACAATAAAAGCAAAAAATTAATTCATGAACATTTTGGGGATACGGAATGTGTATTCCATCCGTTACAATTACAATGCAGTATTTGGTTTCCGATTTCCTCTTCATCAAAGAAATATACATACTCTACCGCAAAAAAACCAAATTTATTATCAGAAAAATACATGGATACTTATATAATAACAAAGATTGGTTGCGTGCTTCACCTATACAAGGTAGACATTGAGTTATTTACCAAGTTCATACGTGTACAATTGCGCATGTTGAAGCTTAACACAATGAATATTAATTTTACCAAACGCGTCATATTCCACGGAAAATTGAATTTAAGTTTCAGCTAAAACCTTTTTGTTTAAATTTATTCCTAGTAAAAGCAAATTATACGCACACAAATTAAAACTTATATGGGTATTTTTCAAATTTTTGGTACGTAATTTTCAAATCAAGAATAGTTTTCAAATTATCAAAAAAATTTTCTCATGTGCCTCTCAAAAACCACAAACATCTCTTAACGTCTCCCGTTCTCTTTGTATGTTACATAATGTAATGTAGTTTAGTTTATTGCGTACTTAATTTCATGTGGCTTTACTTTGACTTCTTGTATAACTAATGTAACGTCAGTGTATGTATAACAACATTTTTCTTTCTTTTTGCACCTGAAACATGTGGAACTCGCTGGCATAGGACCGTGCTAGAAATTTACAAAACTTGTCACTTCGTTTCTTAAATTTTCGACAGCAACCAAAATGAAAAACAAAGACGGAGAGTCGATTGTAGATGTATTACTATCCCCTATTTTTGAATGGGGCAGCGCGTCGAAACGAGAATAGTAAAATTCGCACAAAGTCAAACGTTTTTTGTCTTGTAAAGTGGGTACTTCTAATTTATTTGCAGAGAGAATCACTGAGTAACAAACTAGAGATCAGAGCATTACAAGAACAAAAAAAAAATGGGTGAGTCCTGTCATTTTTTACAAATTTCTTGGAAAGAACAATTAGAGAAGTTCTAGAGCGTATATCTTTCTAAAAAGGGCAAGATCACGAGTATTTTGAAAAAAAAATTTATTTTAATTTCAATTTCTTGTCCATCCGTTAACGGCATGGATTTTCGTGCAACAGAGATTGTAGACAAATTGTTGATTCTTCAAAAACATATTGTAGTGCTTTTCATGTATTCCCGGCAAGACTCAAAGACAAAATCCCAAAAATACTACGTGAAAAACCATTCCGCGCATGTGGATAATCTAATTCGGCACCAGAATGGACTATGCGGAGTAACTTAATCACAATAGTGGCCGCGCCTTTTAATTAATCATCGGCCAAACATCTTTTATTAATCTTATTGAAAAGACCGCTGCCGCAAAACAATACAAGGCAAATAACTACATCCAGTGAATTTCCAATCGTCTAACGGCAAAAAAAGTGCAAAAAAAGTGTGCCACTGACATCGTTACGTCCATCATGCTAAATTCCCTTATCATATCAAAATTGCAGCCGTATTAAGATCTGCAACGGTGATTTATGTCGCCAGGATGGCCAAATAGGCAGACCGTCTAAAGAAATGGTCAATATCAACTCCACACAAAACTCGTTAGACAATGAATGACGCCAGAAAGCGGCAATATGCATGGACAATCCACTTCCAAGGGTGTATGTGAAATAGCCGCAACTCCTTGGAAACAAAGAACATCGTTTAAGCTAATATCGCGGATTTTATCAAAACAAATGGATAAACTGTAATTTGTCTACGGGGAAACTACTGATCTTCAAATTCAATCCGACGACCTTAAGACGACAGCGCGTAGAGAACAGTCCTGATGTTAAAACTCCTTCGAAGGACTAGCAGACATCGGAACTCTGGACACGGAGGTGAATCCATACCCAAGTATATAAGGGTCAGTCAATAAATTAGAAGCCAATAAATAAAGCAAAGTTGCGGTTTGCTTGAAATTAGGTTCAGCGCTTAGAGTAATTTTCATTTAGCTCAATACCTGCTTTCTGGCGATTCTAAAATCCATACATTCAAAATGAAGTGACTATCGAAAGGCATTGAATATTATTCAAACCAGTCATCTCATAAAGCGATCTCATAAAGCGATCGGGAAATGTTTAATGCTAAAAGCCTAAGTTGACTCTCTTTATTTCGTATGTTTGCGTCAAACGCTCCCACCGCTTCCCGTTTTTCCCATCACTCCCCATCCATTTTTCATTTCACGATGTTGTCAATAAAAGGAAACTGTTCTATCTCCGCCTGTACACTCTGTCGTTCGTCGTTGTGTTTCGGACAGACGAAGGACATATGCTCAGCGTCCAATTACAAAAACTAAAAAATGGATCGCGCTCAAATTCTCACCGATATAAATACACCCGGATACAAACATGCCCGTTAAATAGCTGAGTTATGTGGAAGTCTACCTCGCCGTTCCATCTATTAAACCATGCTTGCAGATCCGATGTGACTCGATACTTCTTTGCCTTTGTTCGCCGTGTTTAAGTGAGTGTGCTATTCCTCCACCAAAAAAAACGTTAGTCGAAGTTCGCGCGATTTGCTGCCCCCGTTTTGTTCTTTACCTACCTGCGGCCGAAACCTTCTTTGTATAACTTAGTCAGGACTACTATGTCAAACGGTACTCTCTCTGACGTCGTTTTGCTGGAGTATTACCGCGCGTATTTACCGCCCAATTTCTGCCAGCAATGAGATTTGGTTGTTGATTAAAGGTTGTTCTTTACATTTGTACAAAGCCTTTATGTCTTTTTGTCTAATCTTAACTTCATTTTTTCCTTAACGCCTTTTTTGTTCGTGTTCGTCTGCGCTATACCATTTTTGACCGCTTTTCGCGCCTTTAGTGTATCAAGTTCCCTCGCAGCTTCTTTATGCAGCACTACTTAGCGATCCACCAAACACGTTAGCGGTCGGTGAATGGTGCGCTGGGAGGGGCTATCATTTCAATTGCCTCGGGAATGTGATGAGTGTGAAGCGCGCTATGCAGTAATGCTTGGGCAATGTACGAGGGTAAGCAATAGAAGAATCTTCAATTTTTAATTTTTCTGTGCCTACAACTGCTTACCTTTGGTATTGCGATGGAAATTGTTTTTTATAGTAGGCTTAAATATATTTCCTTGA